TATGCACTTGAAATAAAACAATAAAATTGTTTTTTCTTATTTTAAATATAAATTATCTTGTTCCATTGGCAAAGTGTCTCACTTCTTCAGTTCAAGAAAAGAAAACGCACTTATTTTAGGAAAAAGGAAAAACTCTTTTAATGGGGTTACTTTGTTGAGAATGATCTTCACCAACATGCAGCTACATGTTTTTAAAGGAATTCAACTTTATCATGTTGCCTGAACCAAAACCTGCTTCTGATTGTTTATTTCTAACCAGGACAGAAAGCAGAAGCTTCTGGCGTGTGCTCGGTCCCCATCAATCACTTGAAAGCCATACTGAACCTTGCCAGGGAGCAGTACCTGAAGATTATGGACTCCACTCTTCCAACAGTGGCCACATGTCTGTCAAACAGTGAGTCAGCTGAACCTGCAGGTACGAACCAATGAAATCCCACCGACAAGGGGAAAAACACAGACAAAAATTACACACTTCTTTTGTCCTTTCATCCTGTCATGTATAAAAAGTTGAGTTATCTTTATGAGGATTTAGTTTGTTCAGTCGGCTTTACTCTAACTAGAACACAAGAAGCCCACCATATTATTTACTATGCTGGATGCATATTAGCACATCAGCCTTTACATCATGTTAGCTCTCCAGGTGACCATTTTAGGAAAGGTTTTATGGTTTTCAAATAAACTGGAATGAAGGGAATTAAAGCTAAATAGCATTCGTTCTACAAATGTCGCTTTAGGGCTGTTAGACCCAGATGACAAGCTGTTTTCGTTTCATAAATGGTGTCGCATTAGTTGGAAATGAGCCTTTGCTTTACTGTCCATCATTATTTTTATTGTGTAATCTTCTGTGCTTGCAGGTTGAGGCCTTTACTCTGCATGTGTGATGGCATTTAGAAAAACCGCCTCAGCTGAGCAATTAATCATCTAAATTTCTCTCAGGAATAGCCTTTTTAATGTGTGTCTTATATATTCTGTATTCTGCACCGCTTGCATAAATGAAGTGTTTCCTGAACATCACACAAGAGAAGCAGTTGAGTTTTTGTCATGTTTCAACCAGTAAGAATAAAGAGCATTATTGATAAGATTTTGACAGTGCGTACAGATGAGCAGACTAAAGGGCAGAGTTTTATTTACCGATATACCCATTTCCATCCTCTGTTAGAGGAAGGGTGGGTTGATAAACTCTTAGGGAAAAGTGTCATCTCTTCATCCAGCAAGAAAACTTTCCTCCCTCAGGCAATTCCCTGTGCTTGCGTACATTCCAGCAGTTTGCCAACATCGTATTCAATGCCGTTTAATGCTCTTCCTGTCCAAGTACAAGAAAATGTGCAGAGCTAGTAATATTATGCCCCGAATTCCTTCATTCAGAACCCTATTCTGCCAAAAGCTCTGCGTGTTGACATGTATCTAGGGAAAGTTCAGATACTCTTCTAATCCATCAAGCAGCTCTGTTGCTTAAATTATACAGCTCATGGCAAAGTCGCTCTGTTTGTTTATGATGCAGCAGCTTCTGCTCCTTGAAACTGCTTTCATGATCTGTGACAGATTTCTTCTCACCTCTGATATATAATGCCACCTGTATAATGCCTTACTTATTCTTTGTGACAGTAGGAATTTTATCTCTTGTAAGGAGCTGTGAAAGGCCATCTATCCACATCTCAAGATGATGAATATGTCCTGCTTCTCTTCTCTTTCTAGTCTGCTGTATTGTATGCTCCAACCTTGAATAACTTATCAAGTGAACACCTGAGGTTGAGTTTCGCAGAGCTCTGGACAGTGCCTTTTATTTCTGATGGTGAAACAGCATAATTTATATTAAGTTTTTAGGTGACAAACCCCTCCAAAGTAATCTGTGTTTGAGGATCTAAAAGAAAGTGACTGACAGACTTAGGAAGGGGAAACAGCAACTGATGCTTTATGTAACCAAAAATGAACCTAACACCCAGTTAACTTAAATATTAATTAAATGACTAATAGCTAATTATACAGGTAACCAAATAAGCAAATAACAAAACCAAAGCCCTTATGGAAAGATTCAAAAATTCACTGCTCCCCAATGGTGGATCTTTTACCAATCAGGTCTGCTTGGATCAAAGTGAGCCTTTCCACAGGCCATCATTCTTTCTGTCCTTCATTCTTTCACCACCCCCCCATAGCACTGACAAAACAGTAAACAGAACAAATATTGAAAGGTGTTCAATAGAATTAACTCAATGAAGGTGCTACAATTAGAACGAATGTATTTTGATACTGCAAAATAAATCAAAATGCAAATGCTATCTGTACCACAGTGAGTGTGCAATATATATAAAAAAAAAAAAAAACTAAAAATAAAAATGTGTTTGTGCATGGGGTTACCAACTGTGGCTGCAGGTGTAGGAATCACAGTAGGTAAGGGCTTCAACTCTTAAAAGACATGTTCATTTACATGTGAGAGAATGTGCTTTGGTTAGCATGCCATATGCAAAAGGACTCTATGAAACATGGTGGTTGCAGCATCCTATGTGGGGATGCATTATAGCATGCACAGGAAAGTAGATGAGACCATGGATGGGGTTACACAAAGGGCAATCCTGCAAGAAAATCTTTTTTAAAGGCTGCAGGCGATTTGAGCCTAGGTTGGAAGTTCATCTTCAATAAAGGTAATGATCTAAAACCTTTTTCTGGCTTTGCATTGGATTGGTTTAGTTTAGAACATATTCCCAGGCTCCCTTCCTTTAAATTAGATCAGCTTGAGTTATTGTCCAATAAACAATGGACATTTTTCAGTTTTTAGATGCGTTAAAGTTTTCAAGGCAAACTAATTCCAGCAGAAAGGGTTTCTACAAATCAGCACTGCACTTCTGAGATTTTGTACTCATTTCACTTTAGCCTGTCATGAAAATACCCAAACAAAACACAACCCAAAAAGGTAGAACTTGTGATATTACAAATGGGGTAAAAGGTAAGGAATGTGAATACTTATGTCATGTATTTATCAACAAGTCTACATTTCCTCTCTAGTTGTTTGATGTAAGCTGTTCTGACCACATACATTTATAGGTTTCCACTCAGCTTATTGAAATTGTGAAAAGTGGTTTGATGACTCCTACTACTCTTTACATTTGTTCTAACTAAATTCCACATTTTCATTTCAGATTTAAAGGCCAGTGTCCAGCTGCCATCTGACTGGCCTGAGAGAACTGTCCTTCACAACATCGAAAACCTGCAGAAAAGACGGCAGAGGAAGAGGTAAGCCATGGTTTTCTTTAAAATTAGCTCATAATTAATAATTCTGTATACATAATTGATATGTATACATGTTTTAGGCTTGGTCTGCTAGGCCCAGGATCCAGTGAATGCCTGTTGGGGCCCAAAGACAGCCAGAGGGCCTCATCTGCTTTACTAGATGCCAAAGAACTTCTAAAGCACTTCACATCTGATGGCTTGCCTATCGGGGATTTACAACCGCTGGTTATCAGCAGAGGGTAGGTTTCAGTGATCCTGTTTCAGATCATTTTTGTTTTTTCTTTTTCTTTTCCCTGGTTTGCTGTAAACCGTCTCTAGAGTTAGAAATAATGTGAAGCTTTAAAATCAGCTTTCAGTTTTGGATACGTAACATTCCCAGATATTCATATAAAAGCACACTCCACAGACTTTCTCACAGTTTGAGCAGTGTTACAGCAGTGTACAGATTTTTTCCCTGTTTTTTCTTAGTGTATCAGAATCAGGAGGACTCAATACAAATGCTCAGCCTTTAAGGTTTGGCAAAAAACACTGAGCATCATCAGTAGATGTGTAAATGAAGCCTAAACAAGACATAAAATTTTACTCTCTTCTTGTTCTCTGCAGTAATAACATGTTCCAGTTATCACCAGACCTGTCTCCCAGAAGGATCAGCAGGATGCCCTTCAGCAAAGCCTCATCAGCTCATTACCATGGCATAGAGTAAGTCTCTATAGAGCCCTCATCACAATTTCCTGAAAACCACTTTTAAAAGCTTAGATTTAGAGCTTGTTTCCATAGATTCTGCCTGGATAACCAGCGATCCCTGGACAGAGACCAGGCTTTCTTACGTCTCCAGTCTCGACTGATTCGCTATGAGACCCAGACGACCTGTTCCAAGGAGCCCTGTGCTCTCCCCTTTGCCCTAAGTCCTGCCCCCTCACCTGCTGTTATGTCAGAACCAGGAAGTGTTCCAGATGGGGAGAGCCTGCAGAACAATGATGTAGCTTCTCTGAAACGCAGGTCCTGGGACACCGATGTAGCAGGAGGTTACCCTCGCAAGAGGTTTGATGTCATATTTGGATCTAGTGTGAGCAGGTGGATTATGAGATGATTGAATAAGATTAAAAGTACTGCTGTGTGTTTATCCAGGTTGGTGAAGTCAGAGAGCAGTGACTCGCTGTGTTCACAGAGCAGTGGCAGCAGCGGTACACATCCGGCTATAAGGTGTTTACGGCAGCAAGCGAACAGATCCCAATCTGCCTCAACCTCCTCAGCCACCAGACGGCCATCAGGTAGAAGTCAATCTGAAGCATTGGAAGAAACTAGAGACCAGACTGTGTCCTTTTTCTTCTATCATTTTGGCTGCTTTATGTTAAAATTTCCAATTTTACTGGGCAGGTTTGGCGTGTCTGCCAGGTCCTGAGAGGCCTAGAGTCCAGCAGCAGAAGGTCAATCAGGGTCAAGCTGAGGACAAAGCTGCCAAAGAGTCCCGCTCCCAGAAGCACAATAGGGTGAGTAATACATGTGTCCTTATGCTGTCCGGTCAACATTTATAAGCTCACAGATACTCTTTACTTTAGCTTAAATCTAAATGCATTTCTTTATTTTGCTATGATTCATCATTGTAAGATGATTTTTACTCACAGAGCTACAAATGGAGCCTCTGCAGTTAGCAGATGTTAGAAAGAAGTAAATAAAAGTTTAGACTGAAGCTAACTGCTTAATGATGAAAATGGTGACTATTTTCTATTTTGCAGAGACCACGTATTGACCCTAAAAAAGGAAAAATGCATTTCCCCCCCCCCAAATATATTAATTCAAATTTTAGCAATTTAAACAAACATCTTGAACAATATACAGAATATAATCACAGCAACAGTAATGTTACTGTTCAAGTCAAAATAAAATACAGACAACAATTGCTTCACACAACATTTATTCCAATGCGACTCATCACATTTCATGCTTAGCCTCTTATAATGAGAATTAAATTTGACAGTATTTGTCCTCCAATAAATTGTCTTGGGGAACTGCGGTTCACTTGTTCTTCAATCACTTGCACTTTTTTTTTTTTAGATATTCAGAGTCTTAACATAATTAATGAAGGAGTTTCAAATAGATTCAAACAGGTCCTGTTTTTCCTTTAATATATACATGATTTTTTCCAGAGGGAGGAGAGATAACATCTCCTGCAGCCATTGGTTTATGCTCGGTCTGTGAGTCTTTTTCCAAAATACAGATGTACATTTCTTCGCATTAAGCAGGAAAAAATGCATTTTACTAGGTTATAGCAGTTAGTGCTATTTTTTCTGCATTGTTCCCAAACTCATAATTATGTAACTGTTATCCTAGCACATTAAAACTACAGAAGGCTACATAAAGTAGTTTTTTTGTTGTTGTGGCTTTTTTAAGGGTGTATCTATCTACATTTACATTTTTGTTTATTTGAGAAAGACACACACACAAAAAGAAACACTTTCACCTTGTTTATGATTTTTAAAAAGGTTGAACGTTTTGTTTTGTAAATATTAAGCCCTGAAAAATAGCCACTTCAAATACATAATTTAAAGTCCCCAACTAAAAATGCCCAACTTAAATATATGTAATATGTTTAGGAAGGACAATAGCATAGAATGAGGCCTACATTTTATTATTTTTTTTTATATAATTGTGAAGCACATTTGTTATTAGACTTCAATGGGTGAAAACAAAAAGCCTTTTCATTTTCCCTTAAACTGAACACTAGATCAATCAAGTATTTTTCTTTTCCACCTACAGAGATTATAAACAATATTCAGTTTATAGAAAGAAAATCACTAGATTTTACAGCATTAAGAGTCTGATTGAATCTCACTAAAATTGTCAATAACTGGCTCTCATTCTGCTCCTATTGTTATCTCAGCAATATGTTCTCAGAATAAAAAAGGGATTTTAAAAACAGTTTTTTTAGATGATTTTAACAACATCTCCTCAAACTATGTAAGTCTTTCGAGCTATATAAGGTGTAATATCAGTACATTAAAGCAGCACAAAGAAAACATTCTCTCCCTTTTTGTTTTAAAAAAACCTGGCACCTTGAAGGAAAACCTGTAGCTTCATTTGTTCTTTGGTTGTGGTCATTTTGAATCTAAGATTCAGATTTGTTTTCTTTGAAATTTCTACAGTATTTAAATGGTTATTTTTTTACATTGATATTATTGTTTTTTTGTTGTTTTGCAAACAGCTGAATATTCCTCCCCCACCAGCCTGAGTCTGCTACTGGTTCTAGTAGCAGATGGACACACAATCAAACCCACAGTCTGTCTGTCTGCTACAGATGAGCGCCATGCAACAGCTCCAGTAGAAATAAATATTTTATTTATTCCTCCACGATCACTTTGAGTGTGTGGGTTGCATTGTAATGCTGCAGCATATAGTTTACCATCACCTACTCCCTGCTTCCACTGCTGCTATCCAGGCAGGACTCTGCATGGATTCTCTGGTCCCACATTCAGTGGACACCCTGCATCCCGACCTCCCTTCCATTTGATTTCTGATTACTATGCTAACACGCTTATCACCAAAATGCAACTGAAGAGGAGAAGAGTTGGCCCCATTCGGAAACAATGATCACTCTCTTTATTCAGGACAGAGATTAAACGCTTCCTTTCCACTCCTCCTGAGACTGAAACGACTGATGATTTCTCACAATAATTTATGGTGCTTCTTCAGAGCCGTTGCTCTGACGAGATTAAAAGGTGGATCCGTTTATTTTAGGAATGTTTTTCCCCTGTCAGGACCACCAGTGAAATATTTCCATGTTTGTACCTGCAAGCTCAGGCTGTGAATGTAAAAGGCGATTATTTACGCATGGACGTCCCCCCAAAGTAAAGACTTTTTGACATTCTCTCTTTTATTAAAGAAAAGCTGTGCTAAAATTAATCTCTGTGAACTGAGTTTGCAGTCAGTGGTTGGGGAATAAACAGAGCTACTTTTTATGTTCCCACTGTTGTATTAATACTTGTTTGTTTGTCCTCAGATGCTGCAGGAGATTGTAGCTAAAACGCTGAAAAGCCATGGGATCACAGCCGAGCATGAGTGCTTTGAGGCCTGCAGCAAAAGGCTGTTTGATATCTCCAAGTTCTACCTTAAGGTTTGTCTTGTTGCTGTCCTTATCGTGCCATTGTTTCCTTCTGTTTAAAACGTTATTTATGTGACTCTTGTACTTCAAAGGCTTTTATCTTGTTTGTTTGGGATCCTTTTAGAAGACTGTTTGAAACTGGAGCTTTTGGAGAAATATATATATATATATATATATATCAACTTTTTGTATCTTCACATTCTTATAGCATTAATCCAACATTAAAGGGAAATTCAAATGTGAGTAGATAAAAAATATAATTTTAAGTAGGTAGTGGCGCCCTTTGTAATACCCCAATTTAATCAAATCCCAGAATTTGAGCCCCACTATCAATATTACAGAAAAGTTTATTCCTTTTTACTTTTCACAGCAAGATAGAACTTTCTAGCCTTGCAAGCCAGACTGGCCTACATGGTGGAAATTAGTTCCTGTATTGCTCAGACTCGTACCAGTCACAATGCAGAAGGAAGGCCCATAATGCAACAGTGCTTTTTGTAACCAAAACGATCAATTAACAATTGCGCATGCAACCGAGCAATTTTTTAATGATGGCCATTATTATGTCCTGAAAGAGCTGTTTAGATCATTAACGTTTCATTAACTCTGTTTTTCTATTAAATGAAAAAAATGTTTATGCATCATATCCAGAGTTATCGTATTGAATCGAAACAGTTTTCACTGACTCTGTTAGTCCCATCTTTGAAATCGGGCTCTACGCACTCCTTCCCAGACTAAAAATAAACTCCTGTGTACCCATTGTACATTAGTCTGATTGGTCAGGCTTGTAATTGTGTAGAAAATATGCAAACATACTGTACTGCCACTACCTGGCAACTCTTAAGACATTTATTCCTAAAAATTATTTAGTCGCTTCATGTATCACAGGTTTGGATACATTTCTTCCAAGTAATCTTGTCTTTAAAATTATATTACTTTCATAAACAACTGGGAGAAAATCTTCCAAACCGTCGAGGTTTATGTTTTTCTACCCTACACAGCTCCCCCCCCCCCCCCCCCCCCCTGCCATTGAAATGGACATGTTTAGGGTTGCAGCTATTTTCCATGTTTAGGGTTGCAGCTATTTTCTTGTTATCACTTTCTCCAGCTTATGGAAATCAAGACAATCTACCTTACTTTAATAATATATATTCATTCACATGTGGTTAGACTTTACAATGAGGTCTAATGGAACAATTAACATAAATGCAAGTCCTATGAACACTCTGGTCCTTATTAAAGGTATTGTTATGTTAAGCAAAAAAAAATGATTTAGTTATAATAATTTAATAGCTGAATGAATGAATATATACTTATGTTTGGAAGAAAATGCCAATTGATGCATAACATGTATGATCCCATGTGGAAACTGAAGAAAGTTTCTTCCCCCATCAACTTTTATCACAGCCATTTTTCATTTTGGTGCTCAAATATTGTCTGTTTTTATTCATATATTTATATAAAACATGTAGAATCAGCTTGGTTTCATCAGTTACTAGAAAGATGATCACTAGAAGAAAATAAATGTCTGCGGTTTTGCTGTCGATGAAATCAGATTAGGGAAATAAATCTCAGCCTGTTTAACATCTTCCGCCTACCCCCCCAGGCACATTATGAGATGATATTTTTCATTGTCAAACACAAAACATAGTCACATTTTTAATATTTTTTTTATCTATATTTATTTGGGCTTTAATATTTCTAGAAAAAGTTACCAAATTACTATAAAGATAATACTGTGCTTTAGACATGGCTTATTCACTGAAAATTATTCCCTCTGCAGTTTTCTTCAGGAGACGATGAGGTCATTCACATATTCATTGATTCACCAAACAATAGCGACTCAAATAATGGAATTTAAATATATTTGAGGGAAACGGATATAATTCAGGTCATTTTCTTTCATTTTACTGATTTTTATGTCATGGGGTAAATCGTATGCTAATGCATTGTGCCATTTGCAGGAGGAGCCCTGCAGTGGAAATCAGTACTTCTATTCGACCAGATTTCCATTTTAGTGAAAAAAGTGTTTTTCACTTAATAAAAGTGGCGAAACGACAGCAGCTCCTGGCACACTTCCTGCTAAACCTTTTGTGGAAATAATGTCCTTCAATTTTTTCAGTTGTGATTTGTTTCAGTTATAGTCACGATGTTTTAAAATCAGTTTATTTATTTTTTTCCTGGGTCTTGAAAGGTGTTTTCATGGCGTTTTGCAATGTTTATTTAAAAAAAGGCTTAAAATGCTAATTTCTTTTTTCTTTGTACAATCATGACTGAGGCCTAGTAACAGCTGCAAAAGGGATTCCTCAGGAAACTTATTCATCTATCCACCTTTATACAGATATAAAAGTTAGCATATTCAGGCAGAACGTGTTTATAAAAGTCTTTGGGCTCAACAGATTCAAGGAGAGTTGATGGCAGAATATCCTGTAGGTCACAGTAAAGGACATAAAAGTACATAATACCCACCCAGAAATGCTCACTTATTTGTATGTAACAGGAGAAATTGATGTTTTGTTTTATGAAAACAAAAAAAGAATGCTTCTTAAACACCAAAATAGTTACTTATTGTAAAGCTGAACATCACATTTCCATTTTTAAAAGAAAAGAGAAAAAATTTAGTTCTCTTAAGATTCAGTACTCTTTTTCTGAAATGGCACATTTGCTTGTCTAAGAGACGCAGGTAAAACAATTTATTCATGACTTTTCTGTAAAACATTCTTCTGAAAACATAAATCTTTCATCACTAAAGCTGGCATTTTAGGGGCTTAAATTTAGAAAATGAATGACATGTTTTGGGACGAGGCCGACCACAGGCTTCATAATGACATGCATGAACAAAGTGAAATAATCACCTTTCTGGATCAAAAATAAACCGAGAGAGAAAAAAAAGCACAGATGCTTCTGCGCTAACATCAATTTATTTTACCTACTCGCAACATGTTGTTTTAACTTAGACCGAGTGTGAATAATTCACCTCTAATGAGTTTTCCCTCCTATAATCAGTTTGTATTCTTTCTTTGATCCCAGGATCTGAAGACATCTCGGGGTCTGCATGATGAAATGAAAAAAGCAGCCAACAGTAACGTAAAACAGGTAATGCCATCATCCACCAGTTGGATTGTCTTTCTATAATTCCCATCCCATTGCTTGATTCATTGTCTGTGTTTGCAGGTTGTTGACTGGGTGCTGGAGAAAAGCTCAAAGAAAGGGAGATGATCATCAATAACCCCCCAACCCCGGGTGTTTTAATTGATGTTTGGCCTCAGTGAGCCGCTTTTTTTTATTTTAGTCCATTTACAAAAGTGATTGATGTTTTAAGCTTTTGATTGGTTTTAAATAGTTAATTTAGTTCATTTAAATAACTTAATCCTTTATTTGATTTTCTTGGCTCTTCCTTTCTACAAAAGCCATCAAAGAATGCTTGAATTTTAAGCTTATATAGTTGTTTGTTTTGTTTTTTAAGCCTCCTGATATACTCTAGTGGCTCTAAAGCCTGGAAGCAGAAAAATAAAAAAATAGATAGAAACCACCCTGCTCTGGTTTCTGTTGGTAAGAGGCCTCTTGGGGGTCAGTGTTTTTTCTACATTGCCAACATATAGGCTTGTTTACTGTTATATTATACTGAAAGTTAACTTTGTTTCTTAGCACATTATTTTTTAGTTGTATGTCTGTATTTCATTTTTATCACAATGAATGTATTTTAACTTTTGTGTACATTTTGTTTTATTGTGGGAAATAAAATGTGTCTGAATGACAAAGTATGTTATGTTTTATTACTAGAACCTGAAGCTTCAAACCCAGTTTAGTTATTTGTTGTCTTTCTGACAGTGAAAACAAATTGCAGATTAGGTAAAAAAAAATAATTTTTTATTGTTCTTTAAACTGCCCGGTAAATATCCTAATTTTATATATTTTTCATACTTCAGCATTGTAATTTCCAAAATGGATTCCAAAGTACATGGTAAGGTCTTGTAAATAAAATATTTCTGTACAATCATTTAAAAGCAGCTCATTTAGATTTCGTGTTAACCTAGTGTTCCTATACAGATTATGATCAGAGGTATTGCCAAGATGAATATTCCACTCTATGGCAGTACAAAGAAAATGTAAGAATAATGTAGCTGAGAGAAAGATTTGGTTTAAGTGCTGAACTTTGCATTGGTGCAAAACAGTTTGAACCCAAGAGAAAAGTAGTGATGGCTCTAACTTTATAAAGTGGAGAGGAAGTCTGAAAAAAGTAGCAGCTTAGGGACCCCACAAACCACCTTCCTGTCAAAGGAATATAAGTGTTCAAGTGGGTATTTACCACAGTGGAAAATGACGGCTTGTAACTGAGCCCATTGCTTGAAACACTAACCAGAATGGCAGCATTCTGGTTAGATGTAATTTCTGATCTTGTTCTAGCATGTAACTAGTGTGCCTCACCACATTAACCTACTTTTTATCGAGTCATGCAACGGTTATTGTTTCTCTTTTCTCCAATTAGTTTAATTTTTATAAGACTTTATCAACTATCTTGTAAAACATAATGACGTAAGTAGCAAATGGTTCTCTGGAAGTCCATCACAACACCAGCATTTATGATCGTTTTCCTATATGCACTGATAAAGTCACCTGAAGCAAATTCTAAACATGGATCTGATCTACATCCCATTTTCTAAAGTTTGTAAGCAGGAATGCACATTAGGATTGTTTGAAGAGGAAAAACATAACAAAAAACATCAGGAGACTCTTTGCTTTAACAAAAACCACGTGAAAATGAAATGTTGTTAAAGATAATATTTTCTTCCCCAATGAACTATAAGCTCACATTTGCATATCCCTTTCTGATCTGGCTGTTTAATCTAATCGCAAACTAACTGCAGAAGTGGCGGCTAATAATTTTTCTTTTTTTTTATCTTATAACCAAGGTTCCGATTATTTCATAATGATGGTACAAAATATGTTTCCAACAAATTAACTATTTTAGTGAGTGAAATTAATGCACTTTACCCTATTTTTTTACTAAAACAGTGGTTCTCAATCCTGGTCCTAAATTAGCATTGCTCTACATGTTTCAGATTCCTCCTCACTGCCACACACCTGACTTATATAAATGAACAATTAGCAGAGCTCAACAACACTTAAAAGCTGCTAAGGAGGTCATGCAATTATTTGAATCAGGTCTGCTGCACCAGAGAGAGATTCAAAACATGCAGGGTAGTTGTAATCCAGGAGCAGGTTTGAAAATGCTGTAGAGGAAGGAAACGTTTGTAACCTGTTTATATAAAAAAAAAGTAAATTATCTCTTTTCAGGTGTATATATATATATATATATATATATATATATATATATATATACATACAAGGTGTCCAGACATTGTGCTCATATACTCCATGTCATCCATACACGGTGTGCCAAAATGACTTATCTGAAAAACAAAAGCAGACTACCGGTAATAGCAATGTTCTTATGCACCTCCTTTAAAGTCTGGAGGTACTTGGCTGCACTGCATTTATTCGAGTAAATCAGTAAAGGAGTCTGAATACAAAAGCACAACAAACTTTCTAGATTTGTATTTACAAAAAACATTTTCATCAGTTTCACAATCATATCCTATGCATGATTTGATCAAAAAGAAATCACAATTAAACATTGGTATTTAAGATGACACCTGATCAAGCTTAGTTATAAAGCAACATCAGTAATGTTGAATTTGCTGACTCAGTTTGCTAACCTATGGTTAAGTTATTCATACTTCTCTGTAGGGCTGAAACAATCCAATTAATCATGATTAATCAATTATTGAAATAATAAATTAATTTAGTAATCGATTAATCATTAACTGAAGTATAAGGACTGTATAACAAGCCTTTAGCTGACAGAATGACCCAATTAGAGCATTAATTATACCAAAATTGTAAAAAAAAAAAAATACGTGAACATTTCGCATTTAAGATAAAAAAAAAATATTTTTCTTCTGTCAATATGATTATCCAGAACTTAAGTGGAAAAGTTTTAGTTTCACCTGGTTTCATTTTGTAAAAAAAAGCCTTTAAGAAACCTTTGGCTATCCGATTATTGATCAATCGATTTGCAAAAATAATCGTTAGTTGCAGCCTCTCTGTGTTGTTTGTATTTTTGGATTTTAACATAGCTTTATTACACGCCAAATAACATGTTAAGTACTAACACCAGAAATATAACTTAAATGCTGCATTTATGCTTTTTTTACATAACAGGTATCCAGATGTTAACGGTTCAGATTAAAATAGAACTGACTAAAATTTAGCAAAAAGAATAAGGTTTCATTTGAACTACAGTGAATCTTGATCATGTGTGAAATCTTACATAAATATGAACCCAGAGTGAGTTAATTCTAAAGCTGGATTCTCACAGCTCTGAGCTTAACTGCTGGTAAGTCACTCTTAGTTAAACATCTGCCTTTCCTGGTCAGTTGATATCAGCTTCAAATACGTTATCACACGGCTCTTCCGTCAAAGGTAGTAAAGGGCACATAAACAGGATAGATAATGTTGCTGTTTGTTTGGGGAAATAGACCTTGAGTCAAACAGAATGTGAGAAAATCTCCCTGTACTGACGTTTCAATAGATAAACAAAGCAGTTTAACAGTCATTTCTGCATTTGATATCTTATTACAACACTAACAGCACTTTTTTTAACTGGACTTAAAGATACTTTACATGCTTAGTGAGGCAATATGTGCACTTGATTATCAAAAAGTCATTTTTTAATCGGTTTAAAGATGACAAAAAGGCATGCATGATTTAAAGGTTGTTTTTTTTGGAGGAACAAGTCAAAAGCAGAAAGTCAGAATCGCTGGCAGACAAGTTCTGCAGGTAACATTAGATGCATACAGATAAGGGGAAATGCAATGGCTAGCTGTTGCAGCATCTAAAATAATTGCTATCAGTTTTTTTTTCCAAGGGTTTGTAGACAAAAAAAAACGAGAGAAGTCATCTAATTGATGAACTGCTTCAGTAGAAAACCCCAAGCTGTTTTAGTGGGAGTAATGTTTTTCCCACTGAAGGCCATTCTTTTAAGTGCAATTCAACCCAAATTTATCTTCTCGACCACCTATATCAGAAAAGCCTTTTCCATAACAAACACAGGACTGTGAACAATTCCTTGAATTCAGTGCTGTGGGCAGTTAGATGCAAGTAGTCCATTACTGAAGTATTTACACTCCTTGAAGTTTTACATATTGGGACATGCTACAACCATAAAATTTAGTGTATCTTCTTGAGGTTTCATCTAATATAAGGTAAATTGTTGCATAGTCCATCCCTCCTGATTTTTATTGCACAGTAGCAATAAATGAAAATAGAGAAATTCCATTTGCAGTTAAAGGAATCCGTGCAGAAATCAGCAGAGATATGGTAAAAGTCCTCTAGTTAAATGAAACCAAAATATAACTTTTAGAACGACGTAAAAACATTTTACCATAGAACAAAACAATTCTGTCCCTAACTGCTAAACACAGCACACAAAAGTAAAATAGTTGGGGCAGCAATAAGTAGGTGGGTGGAAGGTTTGAGCTAAAAGCAGGACAGGAAAACAAAAAGTTCTAAAGGCTCTGAAATACTTTGAACATAGATGGTTATAATAAAACAATGTGCTAAATCAAAACCTACTCCTCGGTTAAACTAGTCTAGATCAGGATTCCTCCTTTTCAGTCCTCTCATGTCTGCTGTTCTGCACCTTTTAGATGCGTCCCTGCTTCCACACCTAAATCAAATGTCTGAATTACCTCCTCAGCATGAAGTCAACTTAAATAATTTAACTTACTTAACCTAGCTAATGCCTTCAATGACTGATGTCAGGACACAGAATTTAGAGAACCCACGGTCTAGTCAAAGTTTATACCTAGATCGAGTTTTTATAAAGATGTGAAATTTGCTGTTTCCAGATGCTCTCCATCAAAACGGGCTGAGCTCGAGTTATTTAGTGCATTTTCCCATTAGGGTGCAGAGGTGTCAAAAGTATTCATTTTTAACACTCAAGTAAAAGTATAAATCCTACTGTTAAAAAAAACTTTTGTAGAAGTTATAGTATCAACATAAGCTTTTTACTCAAGTGAAAGTGTAACAGTACCATTTTTAAAACTGCTTAAAGTATAAAAGTGAAAGAATTGTAGGAAAAATGTTAAGAACAGAAGCTTTAAACATTATAGTGGTTACTGCACTACCCTATTTTTTTTATTATTTTTTTTTTTTACAATTCTTGATGATAACTTACGTATACTTAATTTTCTTACTTAGTTTTAGAACTAATGGTAACAATGGCGAATTTAATTTTATAATAACATTATATAATTTTGGTGTGTGGCAAACAACTAGTTGGTCCAGTCCACGCACAAATAAATTGTCTGGATGAAACAAATAATTGCTGTTTTTTATTTTTTGTTTTTGTACCTACAGGCCATTACGAAATTTGCTTTAAAAAAAACTAATGAGTCTAATTTAAAAATGTCAGGAGAAGAAAGTAGAGATAATTGCAAAAAAATTTAAGGAAGAGAAGTAAAAAGTTTTCTACAAAATAATTACTCTAGTAAAGTAAGATAATAAAGTATTTGTACTTTGTTACTTGACACGTTAGTTAGGGTGAGATGTTTAAAAAAAAAAAGAAAGATGTCACCCTAACTTTTAACCCTAGCTTTTAACGAGAGCAAAGGTAAAAAAAAAAAAATGCATACTTTGTTTTGCATGATTCATACATTGTCCTGCGTGTTACGCTTAGAACAAATGCAGAA